CTAATTAAGCTGGCGCCAGCCCTGGGGAGAAATGAACGGTGGTTTTTAATCAGCGGTTGCGGTCTTCACCGTTGCTGCAGGGCGGCGGCGACGCTTCGACCCCATCACTTGGCAACCGGCTCCCTGCGCAGGTAACTTCACCTCTGTTGACTGACCCTGGGGCCTGAACACGGTCACAGGTTCCTGCTGCCCTCTTGGGGCGTTCTGAGTCCCAGAAAACCCAGGTAAACCCTTGGACGCATCTTATTTGCAAGTTGACAACTTGTTTTTAAAAAATTTTTTGGAAAGTTTAGTCTCTTGAGATAATTAAAAGCCATGGCTGACGTGTCTGAAAGTGGTGACTGGCATCCTGGCACCATGGCTGCGGCCTCTTGTCCCTCTGCCTTGTCTGGGGCTGCGCGGCGGACACGCGTGGTCTCTAATTCCCACGACAACCACCTCACGTGCTAGGACCCCTGGTTTGCCCAGATGGCCCCTGTCTGACTCACAGCGTTTGATTTGAAAGTCTTAAGTGCCTGTTCTTGTTAACTTTGAGTCAGGATGGCTGAATTTACAGCTGGCTGAATACCACCCGGAGGATGAGCATAACGATATTGATTTTAGTGGAATGAGTCATATGCCGCCTGCCTGCGAACGCAGGCTCAATCACCACTAGCTGCCAGCATCAGCTTTCCCTGTCAGCGTCTTCTCTACACATTCGTGAGTCTGGACGTGAACAAAGAGCTGAGGAGAAGGAAAGGTCACCAACCGCTCTTGGGCGGGCGGGGCGGGGTCTAGACAGCTGGGCTCTGGGGTTAGACGGGCCCAGCCTCAGTGCGCCCAGCTCCCATGTCCCCAGCTATGAAAAATGCTTCTTCCACCTGCCACGCAGGCTGGCGGCGGGGCATGTGCAAGCCCGGGGCACAGGTGCCATCTCCCTAGAGGGGCGGGCATGCACGTCCCTCCTCCTTCCTGGGGACCCACGCGTGAGTTTCACCTGGCAGGTACCGGGTGTTCCCAGGGGGCAGACGTGCTGAGCGCTCCTGGTCGGTGTTGAATAGATGGGCAGTGTTTCCCCAGCCATGTGGGTGGTCACCTGGGGAGCGGAGCAGGATGTCTCCACCTGAGAAAGGAAGTGGGGTTGTGGGGTGGTACCTGGCCACTGTTATCAGGTGCCTGTCACCGCGACATTGGTGATGGAAGCAGCTCGTAACAAGTGTCAAGAGAACAAATTGAGCTTCTGCATTCTGTTTTAAACACATTTTTGCTTTAATGACGATATATAGTTTATTTTTTATCATTATTGGTTCCAGGAGGAAAAGAAATTATTTTCCCCCTAACTCCAAGAGGTCTGAACAGCTCCCATACTGGTTGAGTGCATCACAGCAAGATCGATAATGCCAGGGTTAGCGGGTTGAATATTTTAAAACTCCATTTTCTATAAGCAGCATGCAGCAAATAAATTGACTTTCCCATAATGAACATGTAAACAAGCAAGTTCGTCTCAAGGTCAAAGGTTAGGTAGCAAGTGATCACAGTGGTTAGAGCAACAATGCCTGGAAGGTGAACAAGCTTCTCCATGTATGCCAAGGCAGAGCAGGTGTAACAGGGTGGTCCCCAGGAAAGGGGGAGGTTCCAGGTTCCCTGCCCCACCCAAATGGAGGGTGGAGCTGAGCAGGGAGAGAAGCAGCTGCAGAGGAGACTGAGGAAGGAAGGAAGCAGGATGGAGCCAGAAGGAGACCTGGAGGAGGCGCACGGAGCCTAGAGACACGTGAAGAAACTGCGCTTGTCTTTTGGTCGTGGACTGGGTGACACAGATGTGGGTGAGACCCGTGGGGAGGTGACCATGGCAGCTTTTATCTTGATGTTGATTTTGCTCTTTTCCTTCCGGGCTTGTCTGGCCGTTTCTGACCCTTTTCTGTGGGTCCCCACTGGAAGATGCTTTAGACTTGTGGCAGGCTTTGGGGCCTTGCTCTGGGCCAATTCCATTTGGATGGAGTTTTACCCACGAGGGGACGGGTAACTTTGGGTGCTTGATTTAAAAACTAAATTCTTTGCCTTTTCTGTATTGTTTCCTAATTGTATTAAAGTTCCTTCCCATTAAAGTCTCATATGTTTTGTGTTGATGCGGCGGATGGCAGAACCCATTTAGAATAGGCAGGTTTGCGGGGTTTGGGCTGCCCCTCTCCCTGCCCTGTAACACAGGAACTATCCTGACAAGAAAGGGCCTCACCCGCGTGTGGCTGGTGTTCCTGTTCATGGTAGTTTTTGGTAAATATTTCCAGCCTTTACCCTTGTCTTTAACAAAATGTAGAGGCCAACACAGGCCCTGTATTTTCATAGCTTTAGGCCACTGGAAGCTCAGAATCATGAATCACTTAAGGTTCCTGCTGTTGAAAGCTTGTATCCCCTGGTTTTAGCTTTTCATTTAAGCAAAGAGGAAGTCATCAATTTGGGCTTAGCTTTTCTGGTCACAACAGCTCCTGCTGCTCCCTGCAGTCTGCCACCGCCCCCCAACACTTCACCGACCACGCGGGTTGCCTCCTGAAGCCTTCCGTTTGAGGGTGCTCCTGCCCACGGTGCTGCCCCTGGAGGTGGTGCCAGTAATGGGGTGGCACTGGGTCTGGTGGCCCTGAACAACTCTGCCGCACCCCCTCCCGCTCCCACATGGCGCCAGGGGAGGCAGGTCCTGATTTCCGGGCCTGGCTTCATCTCGGGGTCCTCCCTTAGGTGTCTGGGATCTTATTACAAAACGTAAAACCTTTCAATTCTGAATCCTCTAAAATAAAAACATACAGTACAAGCCTCGTCACTGTGAGTTAAAGTAGGACGACTAAACTACAGCTTGTTTCGTTAACTGGAACATTTTAGTACTTAAAAGACATAGATTCTCTCCCTTTGGGGGTTGAGGAAAACTAACATTTGGAAATAGATTCCATTTTAGCAGAGAAAGTTCAATCACCAGCTTAGAGCAACTCGGCTTTCACTTTTCCTCCCCACCTTTCCGCATTGTTGGCAACACTGAATCACTGCACTCTTTGAACCAGGTGTGGGGAACCCACTGCCATTCCTGGAATCAGCCTGCGGCTGCGTGCCCAGCGGGAAGTGAGGGGAGATGTCCTCTGCCAACGGGGCTGTTTCTCCTCTTGGGCTTAAGCCTGGCCTTGAATTCCAGATGAGTACAGAGTGGCCAGGAGGTGTGGTTGTCTGCAGACTTCTGGCTGCAGGGCCTTCTTGGTGGTGGACTCAGTAGCCGCTCTCTCCTTTTCTATGGAGAATGTGGTAGTTCCCTTCCTCAGCCCCAGACGACCCCCAGCCACGTGGCGGGCAAGTGTCTGCCTCAAAGTGCCAGCCCTGGGGCCCATGAATGCTGCTCCCTTCCTGGGACCGCCTGGTATGTGGAGACCATGTGGGGCAGCCTCTGCTTCAGCCTCCGAGGAAGGGCATTTGCCAACCGGCTGCAGCAGCCTTGCTTTCTGCTCATAGCTGCAGCTTCAGAGATGAGGAGGAGCTGGGGTTCTGCCGAGCCTCGGAAAGGAGGGTCAGCTCTGAGAGCACCAGGTTCCAGTTCCACGAGGGACACAGCATTTTGGTTACTTGAGGTCTGGTGGGTGGACAGAACCCCTAGGCCGCCCAGAGTCTGCTTCTCCTCCACTGAGAAGTCCCATCACACCACTGCTTGCGTGACTCAGAAGGTTAAATTACCACCCTGGAGTCCCTCGTGTCCTGCTGGAGAATCTCTTTCTGGTCTCTGTCCATCTCAGTGGTTCTCAGCGCTCTCATAACTCAAGAACAGGTGTTGATCTCCAGGCACTGTTTGTGTCCAGCCTTAAATGGGTCTTCGACATTCTACCAGACAAGAGCCCTGTTTGCCTTGAGCTCTGCCCTCAGTCGGCAGCTCAGCTGTGGTTATGGCCCCTTCGCCTGTGTGGATGGTATGACCTGAAGGGCAGCCCCGACCACCTGGCATTGACCCTCACCGAGGCCATGAGAATCTCAGCGTGTGGTTTCTCTTAGCAAAGCTGTCAAGGGCTTATTGAGCCTGAAGAGGTGAAGAGGTAGCAGGTCTTTGTTGACCAAAAGTTGACTGTTTCCAAAATTTGCTCTGATGACACGATTGCCAATTATGAATCTGTCCCTGGAAGATTAGAAAAAAATCAACACCCTTCATCATCCATCGAGGTATCACTGATGTTTTAACAAAGAACAGCGAATTATTGCTTTTCGAGAAACTTACACTGCGGAAGGAGCATTTTGAAAACAGATGTTTTTGTTTCCATTGTTCTGTTATTTTTATTGCCAAAAATGATGCGAATGTGTCACCTATTAAAAATTCTGTTATCTTTTATTAGCTCTTAATAATGTACCCTCAACGTGGGCATAGTGTTTTCCTAATCTGTTAGAAATTCTCTAAATGAAGATTTCAGTGGATTTTGAATTGGGCTGTTACGGGTCTGAGAGCGTGGTAGTAACCCCTGACTAGTTGAGGGAACTGTTACTTGGCAGCAGGGCAAATGGTGCTTTACTAACGAAGCTCTGGCCAGGTCCTTTGCATCAGTGGTGGACAGAATTGGGACATGCCCCCATTGCTGGCAGTGAAACCTTCCAGATGTTTCCGGGAGGACTGTTTGTTGGCTCTGACAGAAGCTGTAACTGGGCTGCTTTCAACTCACCATGTCACAAAAAATTCCCTACATTAAAAAAAAGGGGGGGGGAAACACTTCAATTCTGGGGCTCGCACTAAAAATACTACAACTCCTGCTTTATGATTTCAAGCAGCGTGTTGATATTCTTAGCAGTGGCATATTAAAAATATTTTAAAACACCAGTTATTTTATCCTTGTCTCATTTTCCAAAATGTTCTTTTCTCGTGTTTGCTTTGGTGCTCATCACCCATGGGCATAGCCTCCATGTGGACCCTGTGTGGCCTTGGGCTCTGTACCAGGTGACAACATAGCTATGAGATATTTATTTTGTGATCTGAACATTTTCTGACTCTCTCTTGTATTTTTCTGTTGTAGGAACACAACTGCTTAATGGTCAAAGTGACTTTAGAGTCACTGCTTTGAAGTTCCATCCGCAAGACCACAGCATCTTCCTATGTGGAGGCTTCAGCTCTGAGGTCAGAGCTTGGGACGTGAGGGTTGGCAAGGTAACAGCATCTTCTCTGCTTGGCCGTCCCCCTGGGGAGCTTGCCTCGTCAAATTGAGCTATTGGGGCAGGTCAGCATCTATATATAGGACCCTTGAGGTGGAATAATCATCACTTAATATTTAATCAGTGTTAAGCATAATTTTTAAATATTTTAAAAGAACATTCTTGAGAGTTGTTGAACTATTAAAACATCACAGACGCCCTTCTATACAGCCTGTTACAGAAAATATTTGAACACCTACTCTGTGCAAATGCTCTCAGTGATGTGAGAGGAGCCGCCTTGGGCTCCTCATGGGGGTACCACGTAGACACAGGTAACAGGTGCAGGGAGGTGCTGTGTGGGGGTGCTTGTGGGCACACTTGGAGCAGAGGGGCTAGCATTCATGGGGGTGTTTTCAGCTTGGTGCCAGGAAGGCTTTTTAGATAAAACTGCGTTACCTCATCATGGTCAGTCCCACAGAGAAGCGGTCTCCACTCCCACCCTGTACCACTGCCTTCACAGCCTCACAAACAACACCTCCTCCTCCCAGTTGTTCAGGCCCAGACCATCAAGCTCATCTCTTCCTGTCATCCTCCCCCACTCACCTAAGCCATGGACAAAACCTGTTGGCACTCAGGTTGAAGCTGCCAATCTCTCTTTGGCTGGGAGATTTACATCAGTCTCCTTTCCTTCCAGCCCCTTTCTGGTTGCTTTTAACATAGCAGCCAGAGGGGCCTGTCACAGCGTGAACCAGAGTGTCACTGCTGGTCACTACCTGCCAGGCTCTGGGCTCACTCACCATAAAAGTCCACCGGCCTTCTTGACCTTCCCTTGGGCCCTTGTTATCTTCAGCCTCGCCCTCCCAGGAGCACATAGCACATTCCTGCCTTGGGGCCTTTGCACTGGCTGCAACACCATGGGTCTTGGCTTGTATTAGCAGTGGGGACTGAGGGAGGGTGTCGCGCTCAGGGCTGAGGGGGCCTGTAGGGAGGCGCAGTGAGGAGGAGCCACGACCCCACTGCTTCTAGAGCCCTGTGGCTTCAGGGTGGCCAGCTTGGGAGACCTGAGAAGCACGGGTCTGAAGGAGGCGCAGTGCTGATGGGAGGTTCATGGTAACACCTGTGTCAGACTTGACTGTGAAGAGGGTGAGGAACATCAGGGAGTGTCCTCCTCCCCTGGGGATTCCAGGTCCCACCTGGAGGGCTGTCACCTGCTTATCTGCCATGCCAAAGGCTCCACCTGAAGGCATCCCTGTTGGACAGGGGAGGCCTCCAGCAGGTCTGCATGAGTGTGGGGGAGGCAAGGCACCGCCATGTCTTGAGTTGGTGCTTCAGCCACTGCCGGGAGCTCTTTTCTCGACAGGAGGGTGTTCTGAGAAGCCTAGAGTTTATCCATAGGTGTCTTGTATCAAGTGCATCACAAATAGGAGAATTAGAGCAAAGAGAAATAATGCACTTTTTAAAACAAATAAAATCACATCTTTCCATACAAAGAAACTTCTTATAAAAATACTTGGAAAGAGAAATGTTACCCATAAGGAAGTGGACACAGTGGAATTAAACCCACTAGACACTGTATCTGGAACAGGGACACTTGGTGAGTGGAAGCCCATGAGGGTGCTGTGAGTGGCCATGCTCAGCCAGCTGTCTGCAGCACCCCCGACCCCCCAGCCCCTGAGGGCCATGCCCCACCAGGGCGCGCTTACTGATTTTGGCCTCGAAGACCAAACACGTAAGAGACTACTCACCAAGGATGCCATCTGATTTAAAGAGTTTGTTAAAAATATTGGATTTTCTCCTCGGGCAGTCGCCAGCTGACGAGCTATGGAAATGCTGGGGGAGAAGCAATTAGAAGCAGATGTTGCTGTGACTGGTATTGGCATGTTTGCGAGTCTCTCCCAAACTAATAATGTGGGCAAAGGGAGCTGTGCAATATTTGTTTTTACTTCCTTTTTACCAGCAATCCGACGGCCTCTCCTCCCTGCTGGGGTCACAGGCTCGGCCAGGCTCCTGGGACAGCTGTGCTGCTTCAGTGTGTCTCCTCTGACAGGAGTTGTCAGGGATGGGCTCAGCAGGAGTGTGTCAGAGAGGAAGGGCTGGTGGGTGGGGTCTGGGTGGTTCCAATGCCAGCCTCTGGGCGCGGGAGCGTGGCGCTGTCCCTGGTGCTGAACTCGTCCGGGCCCTCCTCGCGTACCGCTGAGTGGCCTACATCCAGCGGTGGACTTTGCAGGTGGATGCGGGGGGTGGGGGAGTCGTGTCTCAGTTTAAAATCAAGGGAAGCCTCCCATTGCAGAGACGACAGGAAATAATATCTTACTATAAAGGTAACATGAGCATATGGAAAAATGGAGAAGTAGAACGGGGGGTGGAGGCAGCCAGAGGTAAACATCAGTGACATTTCGATGTTGTTCTTTCATCGTTCTTTTCCCTTGTGTGTGTTTTAAAGATCATTTGGTCTTATTTTACACACAGCAGCATGTTTGCTTTCCTCATAGCATCATACAAGTTTTCCCTGCTACGTGCCCGTGCATCCTCACGGTGCAGGGTGCCCGGCCACCACGTGTTGTCCCTTTCCCTGCACCCGCCACTGTGTCTGACAAGAGTAGGCACTCGATAGATATGGATCCAGGAGCCAATCTCACAAGCCATTTCCCTAGGTTGGACATTTAGGATATTTCATTTTTTTCTTTTCTTGCCATTTGAAATAAATAAATGTGATGGTGGAGATCAGGGGTCAGCAAATTATAGCCCAGGGCTAACTCTGGCTTGCTGCCTGTTTTTGTCAATAAAGTTTTATTGGAACATAGTCACACTCATTCATCTACGTATTGACCACGCTGTTTTCATACTAAGGTGGCAGGTGGTAGAGGGTTCTAGACCACGCATGGCCTGCAAAGTCAAGCATATTTACGGTAGGGCTGACCCTTGCTATGGATATTCTCTGCCTATGACATCTTTCATCCTGCTGCCTAGCAGGGCTGATCCTCTCCATCTGGCTGGTGAAATGGATGCCCCTTGCTCCCGCTGTTACAGGCCTCCTCCTTTAGAGAACTCTTCTTCGGTCAGGGGTGTTAGTTTTCTCTCTCTTGTTGTTCTCTCCAAACACACCATCCTGGTCTAGTTTGTAACATACTCTTCTGGAAGTATCACATTTGTGCAAATAGTGTGTTCCAGATTTGGGTTTATTTCCTTAAGCATGGGTCCTGGAGCTCAGCCTCCTGGGTCAAAGCGAGTCAGTGTTTTGAACGTAAGAGGCCAGTTCCTGGTGGTGGAGCTGAGGTGTGCTGGTCTGGGCACCACCTCAGGGCATCTGCCAGCCTGAGAGGGTGGAGTCTGAGCAGTGGCTGAATAGACAACTTTCAGCTTCTTCCCAGTCCTTGAGCTTGGCACTTTCTTTAGCTTGGCCAAGTGATGAGCGCTGGGCCTTTGGACTCTCTGATCCAACCCTTTTCATTACAGCAAATGGGCTGTTTGGCCCCCGGCCTCCTTTTCTTGGCTGATCTTACTCCGCCTGGGTTTGATGACGGAGCAGCCCTCATCACACAAGTGTCTGGCTCTACTTCCAGCTGATCAGTGGGACGTGTTACCATGAGCACGCTGACTCAGCTGGCTTCCTGCCATCTGGACTCCTCTTCCTCCCAAGGTCTGCTTGGACACAGGTGTGGTCTGGAGCCCAGGATGTCTGGGCTCATGTCACTGTGGGGGTCCCTCACTCCAGAGCCCTTCTGGGCCTCCGCTGGTGCACTGGCCTGAGCCACAGGAGACTGGGCTCACACCCTCTCTCTGCCACTGCTCCGCTGGGTGATTTAGGTGACTCCCTTTGGCTAAAGCCTCTCTCACCCACAGTTTCCCAGTGGCATGGAAAAGGGACAGTTGAGGTCATTGCTCAAACCATGCATCAGGAGCACCTCGAGCTCTTGTTGGGGTGCAGATTCTGTTACAGCAGGTCTGGGACGGAGGCAATGTTGCAGTCAGCAGAGATGCTGTAACAAAATACTGCATCCTGTTTTGGCTTAAACAACAGGAATGTGTTTCTCGCCATCTGGAGGCTGGAGCCTGAGATCGGGCACCGCACGTTGGGGTGGGTCAGGGCCCTCTTCCTGACCTGTAGGTGCCTCCGTCCTGGTGTGTCCTGCTGGGGTGGAGGGAGTGAGAGCTCATTATGGCCCCACCCTCCTGACGCACCTAAACCTAATCACCCCCCACCCCCCACCTCCAGATACCATCATATTGGGGCATAAGACTTCAGCATGTAGATTTGAGGGATACAGACATTTAGTCTCGAAGATGAGAGCCTGCATTTCTCGCACGTTCCTGGGAGAGGAGCGGCCGATGCCCATGGATTGGATCCCGCGTGTCTCTCTCCTGAGCAACCTTGGCTTTTGTCCTCGGTGGCCTGCATCACCAGTGGCCATCTCATGACCTTCTTACAGGACAGTGAGCCCCTTTATCTGACAGGTGTTCACTTGCAACCACCAAGGTAGGGGTGGGTCAGGCAAGTGCTGCCTGCGCCTGGCATCTCCCACAGGCTCAGGACAGGGCAGGTACTTGGGGTAACCTGGAGTGAACTGACAGGGTTGGCTGCCCTGCCCATCCTGAGGGAGCCTGGCGGGGACACCCACCTGCCACAGCACAGGGGCAGCAGCACCCTGGGGTCTGTGCAGAGGGCGCCCGTGGAGGCTGGAGGTGTGGGCAGGTTAGACCCTTCGGCAGTGGGGTGGGCTGTGGTGGTCAAACTCTGCAGGTCTCCCCAGGTCTGAGCCCTCGGGTGCCCTGATATTGGGGCTCTGACCAAGTTACCTGCCTTGCTTGTCTCCAGGCTAGCAGGCCCTGGCTCTGTACCCAGCAGGGCAGCGGAGTGGCAGAGCGGAGTATGGGACACAGGCCCAGCTCACTTAGGCACCTGCTCCACGGGCCCGGCCCCATGGCCGTGACGCCACAGTCCACTTCAGGATGACCGTGTAGCTTGAGCCACCGCTAGGAAGGTAATAAAACATTTCCCCTTTGTAGCATCAATTC